TAACAGTCATATAACAACACTTATGTAGCCAGTGATAATTAATTAAAGTAACGCATTAAGTACCCCAACATTTTTGCAATACCTTTGCATATATCTCGCAATTTTTTAAAGTTTATTCGCTTACAACGACTATTAGATATATGGAGCTAAATTTTAGGGGTAAGTAATTACTAGTAAGCATATAGGAAAACAATTGTAAAGATGTACATATCTTGTATTTTGATATTTTATAATATATCCAAAGCGCTTATTATAATCAGGGAGATACTTTTCTTCAGACTTCCTCTTGCCAGGAAGATGGTCGTTATAACTATAATTATAATTATAATGATAATTATCGATCGATCGGTATTTTTCTTTACTTTGATGAATTTTCGTCTTAAAATCGACGATAATTGTATGACGTTTTTCTCTTTAGTGTTTCTTTCTGTTTTAAATAGATATGATCATCCATAAATTATAGCTGGTCAAGGAACTTTCGGCATAGAGATTGTCGGGCAAGTGCCAGACATCAACGCTCTGGTGGTCCCCGTCGTTGGCGTTGGATTAATAGCGGGTGTTGCAATAGCTGTTAAAACAGTTCATCCGAATTGCATGACTATTGTAAGTCCATGGTTTAGTTCTCCTTCTTCTTCTTGATTATCGGTTTACTATATTAAATCACTTTTTCGTGCTACATGTCAAACGCGAGTATTTCAAGGAACGATTCTTGTTGCCTGAGATGAATTACATTAGTAACGAACGTTCTTGGACTTTAGGGGATTGAGTCGGAAAGGTGCGCGAGTTATTACGCGGCGCGCGAAGCCGGTAAACCAACGTACACCCACATATAGTTTTCTCTCGCCGATGGATTGACCGTTCCCGATGGTGGGATATAATGCGTTTGCACCGTGGATTCGTTGATCGACAAAATAGTCATAGTAAAGGAAGAATGGATTGCGATCGCGATCTTGAAGCTGGTCGAGAACAAAAATGCGTTGTTGAGGGAGAAGGAGCGACAGGTTTAACAGCGATATTGGCTGGTCAGCTCGACTAACTCAAGGGAAAGAAGTGAGTTGAAAAAGGTGACTTTCAATGTCACTTTCTTCATGTTCGTTTCATTAGGTTACAATTGGTGTTGTAAAT